GTTTAGAGTTAGCATACTGAATTCTTACATTATAACTGAGTAATAAATCTTTACATTCGCCCATATATTCAGTACCTCTATCTACAATAAAACCTTCAGGTGGATTAAGAGGCTCCTTAGGATTATCATAAATTTTTTGAATATTTTTAGCCATTTGTGCAGAAGATTTATCAGTTAATGCAAAACTACGATAATATCTAGTTGCAACATCTTTAATAACACCCCTATACTTGTAAATCTGATTATCTACTTTATCATAAGACATAGGGGTAGTATCAGATTGATGTACTTCATTTAAAAATTATATATTATTAAAGGAAGCATACTGAATAAATCTAGAACGAGATTTATGTATCTGATGCACAGCTTGTCTCTCAAGCCAGTCATGCATCTCATCAAGTGAAAAATCATACCCAACCTTTTTAGAGGCTTTATACAATTTTTCGCAGTCCTCTAATAGCCCGAAGGCTGATAATAAATCTTCTGCAAAATAATAGAAATATCAAGTTTTTGAGCTTCACCTGATTCTATCTGAATAATAGGAATTAGCATGGATGACCCCGCTTTCATAGAAATCCTAAATACTAATAAAGAGTTACGCAAAGAATTGGAGGATGAAATAACTGAAAGCAAACTTAAGAATAAAAAGCTAAATCGCTTTCTAGGGAGCTAGAAAACTGTTATAAGACATTATCTTACTAGGATTCAACAATATTAGCTCATGAAGATAAGATAGCATCTCTTAAGTTCAAGATAAAATCTCTTAAACAGCATCTTCACAAAGCATTACAGGATTTAAGGCATAAAGGTAATGCAAGTACTGCTCAAGATATTTATATTTTAAGACTAGAAGTCATAGTTGAACAACTTAAAAAGCGAATTAGGGAGATTACAGATAAAAAATTATCACAAATAAATAGTTCACCAATGGCATTACCAGAACTTTTAAAAGATATTGCTACAGTTATAGATCGTGTTGAATTATATGTTGATGGAGATAGATCATTTGACCCTAAAAATACCTTGAATAGTATATGAATAACATTAATAACTATTCATACTCATATGCAAAAGATATCAAATGAGGCCTTACATTATCAAGGTTTGCTTAATATGGCTAATGGACAAATCAATAACCTTATGAATGATATGGCAAATGTTAGAAATGAATGTCTTCGAAAAGCTCAATTATTAACTTTAGCATATAATAATGAAGCAAATGA